TGGAATATTCGTATTCTCCAGAGAATACATCGATGAAAAAGCATAAAACCATATACTACGTACAGTAGTACTTACTATGGAGCAATATTTCCAATAAGAACTCTGTCCATGTCCGTGGATATTTGAGAAATCGGACGATTTCCTAAATAATGGATTTTCGAGAGTTTCCGCGCGCAATCACAATTGTCGGACGCCGATGGAGGAGGAAGACCAATGGCGGCGGCAGCGGCGGCGAAAGATCGTCAAGGACCTGGAGTGGGTCCTCAACAGTCCGCATATACTATCGTCACGCTTCCAAGTTCTTCCTACGCACATATCACAGACCATCTTGGCACTTGAGTCGACGCAAGCATGGCTTGACGAGCTCAACGAGAACCCGATGCCACTGTACACGTTTCTCGCGGGTGAGGATGTCATGTTTCTTTTGAGGCCATCGTGACATGTTCGCATAGCGAAGAGGCGAGATAGAGCATCGTTAGCACTGGGGGTGTACTTTGCGTCGCTCTTGGAGTTTTGGCTCCGGCACTGTCCATCATGGACCGTAGAGCACCTCGTGGTGGGCCAGCAGCTTGTCACGGTCAAGGCGTCACGAACCGTTGGTCAGCTCAAGTTTGTCTTTCGCATGTTTCTTCCGTCATCGTCGTCGGAATTTGTCGACATGCACTGGGAAGCATCGATCAAGTTCTTTTTGCTCACGACCATATCACCACCGTCACCGTCCGGTGACTCGCCGATCAAGCTCGAGCACTTTGTGGGGCCCCATCTCGGTGAAAACCTGGCGTGGAGGGCGTCAGAGGTCTCACGAAAGCTCGATATGTGCCGCTTGGACGTCGTGCGCGCGTGGTTGGCATCTCATTTTGCATCGCCAGCTGCAACGTTGTCGTCCCCGCTGAATGATGCCGCTGCCATCGACAAATCGCATCACGTGCAGTCGTACATGCTGCTACGGGGGTACTTGTTTTACCCGCTGGCACACTTACCGTCCACGACGGGCTGTCGGTCCGTCATCCACGTCAGTTCCGACATCGAACCGGCGCATCTTCGTGGGTGGTGGACAGTCGATTTTGCGTCAGAGCTCGTCCGCGCGGCGCCGGCGGATGCACGATGGGCTATTCTGCCCAAGGTTCACTGGTTGAGTCCTGTCATTGCCCGACTGTCTCTGGGACGAACTGACGAGGACGAGAATGCGTGGGCTATTGAGGGAGATGCTGAACTCGGGCTCGACCCTATTCCACTCATGGACCGTGCAGCGCTCTTTCACGTGTGTACTGGCCATTTTAAACACAGTCCGACGGCCATGCCGCTTCTCGTGGCCGAGTTGCGCCTTGTTCAGAACGGTGCTGACGAGCGCGACAACGGTACAAATCCACCAACGTCCGCTTCCCCTCGCCGCTTGTACGCCGAGGTCAGTCGAGGTTTTGTCATGAATCCAGACACGTGGAAGCCGCAGCCGTTGACGCAAGATGCGCTTCGATTTCGACGAAACAAGCCGCCAAACCCGCCGCAAGTTGAAAAGACATCCTTGTTCAACGGCGCACTCTTCGAGTCCATGCCGTGGCCGCACCACCATTGCGAGCGCGAGTATGAGCCGCCGCGGCCAAGTCTGGACGAAATCACGATGCACGTGGCCGTCCGTATGCACCATAACGACGACGAATCAACTGCACCCGCGAATGCCGTCGACGAGCCCACCTTGACAGCGCTCTTGCGGCGCGCGCAGGCCACTCCAGAGGCCAACGTGGAAGACCATGTGCCGACTGCGACGACGTTGGTGCAGCAAGTGAACGTGCTCCTGCGGCACAAACTTGCGTCGGCTGGCCAGTTCATTCCGTCGCATGGAGCTATCAAGGGAGCGATACACAGTGTTCTTAGGGCTCGAGACAAGTGCTTCATCGGCGATTGCACTGCCGCCGTCGTCGAGTATGGAACGACAGGTGGGGCGTCCGACAGCAATACCAAGGACATGTTGCGAGTTGGCCACTTAATTCTGGATGCTGCGCCAAACGCCACCAAGGACAACGAGACAGCGCCAACCCGCTTGGCGAATCGACTTGCCTCCATCTTCCACGATGCGTTGTCGGACTCGGCCAAGTGGTGGAGCGTGCGCTTTCTCGTCAAGGCCAAACAAACTTTGCTCAACGAAGTACGTGCAAGTGCTATGGAATCAGCACTCGAGCGAAATGGAGATGGTGGGGCCATGGAAGATGTGATGACTCGCATGCTCGAGCCAGACCACCGCGGAAAATGGCACATGACGGTCGTTGACTTGTGTGCTGCGTATGGCTTGCCCAGGTGAGTGGACAATTGAACCTTGGTCTGTGGCATGTGCAACAACGCGCACGTGCGGCAAAAATGCATCCCCTTGACAACGGAGACTCTCCTCTGTCCGTAGAGCGGAGGCCACGGCATCCACGATGCTGACGAAGCTGCTGGATGCGAATGACCCTGTGGCGGCGGAAGCGTTTGTGTTGTCGCAGCAACGATGCACGTCTCGAACGCATCGCCTGACGCAAGCGTTTATGCGCCACTCAAACACTCGTACAAAAGCTGCCAAGCGCCTTGCTGCCCTCTTCCATTCCATCCTTCCCAGCCACACACCTCACGCGGCGAACCAACGTCCCATCGTCAACCAGGACCATCAATTGACCTTGGTCCAAGACGTCCTGGCCACTCGTTTGAGTGTGCACTTGGTGGAAACCCCCGACGACGTCACGTCCATGATGCACTGGATGGACGAGGCTCTGATGGATCCAAACCATTCACCCAACGAACAACCGACCAAAGTCGTGATCGTCGGACTCGACTGCGAGTGGCGGCCGCGAGCATTCTCCACCAAGAGGGACACGACGCTGGACGACGATACACCAGACTTGGAACAAATCCAGGTCATCCAGGTCGCGTTTCCACATGGCCACGTGTATGTGCTCGACTGCATGGCGCCGTCCGTGATCGACGTGGTGGTGCCTCTGTTTCGTCACTTGAGTCGGCCGTGGGTCGTCGTGACGGGGTTTTGCGTGTCGGGGGACCTCGATCGCCTCGTGGCTTCGCATCCTGGATTGACGGACGTGGTGCATTCGCCCGACTTTACGTGCGTGGAGCTCCGACGGGTGGCGGTGGCTCGCGCCAAGCCCAACGACGTGCCCACTGTCCAACGGATGGGTCTCGCCGGCCTCGCGGCGTCCTATTTGAACCTGCGCATTCCCAAAGACCAGCAAACGTCAGATTGGGCGGTCCGGCCGCTCTCAGCCGTACGTTTGTCAGGATGGATCCACTTGAATCATTCGTTCGCAGGACCAAATCGAGTATGCTGCGATGGACGCGCATTGCGTGCGGCTGTTGCTGCTCTACTTCACGGCTGGCCTGGATGGACCGGATCCAGTCCAAGAGCCTTGGACCATATCCTCCTCTTTGTGGACGGCATGGCGCGTTCACCTTCGTACGTAGTCTACGTGCATGGCTCTCACACAGCAGCCACGGAGCCGACGGGATCTCGTCTTGTAGAAGCGTATTTGGGCGAAGCAGACGTCGTTGCTGCTGTGGCGTCGTTGGGGCTATCAGGGACATTCCACACTCTCCCGACCCAGCCTCACTGCGCAGTCGACAGGGAGGGCCACACAGTCATCAAGACTGTGGCATGGGTCGTCCAGCATGCACAGCACCACCATGCGTCCGCAGCGGCTTGTGGACGGTCGCCGGTCCAGTTCTTGGCTGTGATGGTGGACCTGGCCAAAACGATCGACGAGAACAAGTTGCACTCGTTTGTCCTGTCCAAGCTCGGCCTCTCGTCGTGCGCGATATCCCTCGCCTCGGAACGCGTACGCTTGCTCAACTGACCCTTTCTCACGCGCGATGTGCTGTAGGACCTCGTGCATGTGTTTGGGTACGGCCGCGGGGCCATCGGTCCCGTTGGCCTTCGACGTCCATCCCTCGTCCACATCGTCATGGATGCGTCCCTGGTGCATGACGATGCCATCTACTGCGGCGCCGGCGCTCTTCACCGCGTCGTCGCGCTGTCCCCGTTGCACCTATTGCAATGTCCTCACTTGAACATCTCCACGTACGACGTGGCAGCGTAGAATCCAAGGACACATGTGCAATCTTCAACTCGTTCCATGCGATTATTCAAGCAGTTCTCCAAAGTAAATGTTCTTGTCGCTGCCGCACGACCCTACGATCGGCTCGGCCGGGTTTGGATGGAACGAAACTTCGTTCACACTTCCCGCATGCCCCGGGAGATGGTACCGGAGGGCACCGGTGTCGGCGTCCCAAATGTACACATACCGGTCGGCACTGCCGCTCCCAATGTGCTTCATGTCTGGACTCCAATTCGCACGGATCAAGTTGCGGTCGTTGCTGTGTTTCGCACCGTAGTACACCATGCGGCACCGGTCGCCTTCGCAAAATGGCCGGACGTCCCACTTGCGCAATGTGCTGTCCATCGCATTGGACAAGACAAAGTTCCCGTCAGGACTGAGTTGCAAGCTCGTGACGATCTCACTATGGCCAGCGAGAATCTCGACGGGAGCCGCGGCACCGTTCTCGGTAGGCTTGCGTAAGTCCCATTGCTTCACGAGCCCGTCGACGCCGCCGGAGAACACTGTGTACGAATTGTCGCCGAAGCACACTGCTGTGACTTGAAAGCGCTCTTCAATCGTGTGAACTTCACGCTTCATGCGGGCGTCCCAGATCTGCCAAGGCAATGGGCATGAAAACAGGAGGAAAACGTTCGTGGGGTATACCTTGATCGTGCTGTCGTCCGACCCCGACGCAAGCATTTGAGGTCCCTTCGGCACTGGACACACGCTGTTCACGATGGCCGAGTGGCCTCGGTAATTCTTGACGCGCTTGCCGGCTTCAGCATCCCACAACCCGACCGTCTTGTCGGCGGAAGCAGACACGACCGAGCTACCATCGTACGTCCATTGCACCTGCAGGACGGCATTCTTGTGACCAGACAGCACGGCATAGTTCTTGCACTCTCCGTACACGGTCCAGAGGAAAATGGATCGGTCAAACGATGCAGATGCTGCCGTCTTGCCCAAAGGGCTAAATGCAAGCGAATACACGGCAGCTCCATGTCCGGTGAGAAGCATAGTTGGCGCGAGCAAATCGGACGTGCGCGCCGTATCTGTTCGAGACGTGACCGTCACAACTTTGGCATCGACAGGGACAATCTCCAACGTTCGTGGGAAGGGTTCGCTGTCATCCGTCCTGGGTTTCTTTGCAAGCGCGAGCGCTTGATGCCGAGGTGATGAAGGCGCACTGTCGGTGGAATCCTCATGTGTCGGCGATGCCGGGCGCTTTCCACCCCCCATCTTCCAGCTTGTTGGTGGTATCGAAGGAACTGGTAGAGTTCCTGTCAAAATTCATACAAACACCCCAAAACCAAATAATCCTAAATTGGTCAAGCGATGTATATTTATTGAGGTGCGCCAACGATGTTTTCGGTTGCACATAGATGGGCCAAGATGCGTCCAGCCGCAGGGCGCTTCGCAGCCGCGCTGGTTATTGCTACGCATCGTTTGCACCGACATGGATGCCGTCACTAATATGTATTCGTTTCCTGTACGTATTACACACGGAGGAAATAATTCTCGATTTACAAATATTGATGAGTATATCTAAGCTTTCGGAAAAGGTGGCCAATCCTCCGGATAACTGGATTTTCCTGTGAGTTGAAACGTTTCGGCGCGAGCGGCATGGCGAGCAAGGACATTTACTACGTGCCCGAGAGCCTTCGGCGGGAGTTCTCGGCACATGAGATGGCAGAGTTCTTGGAGCAGGTATGACTGCTATACAAAATGGAAGGATCGTACATGCCGTGGCTTTGCAGTTCAAGGAGTTCGACACCAGCGGGGATGGCGGTGTTGGTACTGCTTTCGCAATCTCCTTGCGATGTCGTCTGAAGTATCGGGGTAGATTCAAAAGAGCTGTCGACCTTGATGGGGTCTATGGGCATTCACATGGAGACGGAAGAGGTGCATCTCGATTATTGGCAGCATATGACATGAGCATGTTTGTAGTTGCTGCGGCTCATCGCGATCGTGGACGAGAACGGGTCAGGGCAGATCGAGTTCAACGAGTTCGTTTTGGTGCGCCTTTTGCCTTGATGTTTACGACGTTAAGAAGGTTTCGAAGATGATGAGCAATCTTCGGCGAGGAAAGTCAAACAAACTAAGCAAGTTTGTCCAAATGTCCAAGCAAGTCTTTCAAATTCGACAAGAGTTCCACGCACTGGACGCGTCGCCCGTCGATGGATGTCGCATCGTACCATTCAAGCGTGCGTGCATTCCCCTCGATTTCTCCCCCGAAGCATGACCGGCGTGTCGATGCAGACGACATAAGACAGTGGAACGTGTACCTGCAAGGTCCTCCAGGGACTCCGTATGAAGGCGGCACGTATCGCTACCATTTTCAGTACACACGCATCGCCATGTCGTCGCTTCCTCAATTCGTTTAGGTTCGGTGGGGATTACCCATACGAGCCTCCGACTGTCTCGCTCCACACGCGTATTTACCACGTCAACTTCATCATGCTTCTTGACGGCACCGCTCCGACAGAATGGCTTGCTTCGATATGGACACCAGGTACCTTGTCACCTATGACTGCTCTAAGTCTTTTTGCGCAGACTGGCGAGCACGTACCCTCATCGAACGGCTGCTTGTCCTGTTGCGCGACCCTGAACCGGAGCTCATGGTTTCCATCTACAACGCTCGGGATGTTCCTCCAACGATCGGCACGACGGCGCGGTCCTTTGGGATGGACTGCTTCAACCAGTTTGTCGAACATCCTGACAACTTCCACCGCATTGCCGTTGAAGTCACCAAAACATACGCATTGACAAATACCTCGCTTTAACAACCGAAACGTTATCTCACATCAATTTAGATATCGATTCTATCAAGTTGAAGTGGATCCATGTTCGTACTTGGAGGGATCACAATGTGCAATTCAAATTTGCGCGCGAAATATCTTAGCTATTACCCTCGGTTTAATGACTTCTGGACTTGATTGGCCGAACCAACAAGTCACTAAAACGAGGGACCTTCCATCTATCACCTGGCTGATGAGCTCCCATTGTTCATTTCTTCAACAAATCGACGGGACAACGCCGTGGCGGCGGCGCCAAAGCGATGCTCATTCCTGGACACGACTTCATTGCGGCTCATGCTCAGCCCTCGCCGAGATCGACTGCTGCTTCCAGGGGTATCCATGAATGGCCCACCAGTCGAGGCAGCTGCTGCAGCCGCTGCGGCGCTTCGACTTGATTCCATGGTCTTTTCATGGTGAGCGCGAAGCCGCTGTTGATGCAGAAGAGATGACAAGGCTTGCTTGAGCCCATAGATCATCCGCGTAATGAGTCCGAACGGCACCGTCCACATTGTAAACAGATACACGACGAGAACCATGAGGAGGTACTGGTTCGGTATGAGCACATGCAAGATGCAACTCACGATGAGTGCAATCAAGATTTGCAACGTGTAAAAGAAGTCTTCCCACGAAAACATGAGTTCGATTGCCTTGATCACGCCCGACCACCACGCCATGTTGTTCTGCACTCGCTGGAGGGTCATCTTCGTCTCGGCATCCGTTGTAACCTGAGCCATTTTGTCCGTGATGTGGTGGAACCCTTGAGGAAGTGAGTACACTCGCGGGGGTTCGTCATGGTGATTGCTTCCATCCATGGACGACGACGACGCCAGCGTGGACGTTGAGCTCCCTGCACTACCCCCCATTGCGCTACTGGAGGTCGTCAGAGAAGTACCACCAGTGCCCACTGCCGATGTGTTAGACGTGGTCCCGACGGATGATGAAGTTGCTCCTGTCACTGTTGTTGACGCAATTGACAATGGAGTGGATATCGAGTGTTGCAGAATGGGCACCGTGGGGACAGAGGAATCGACTGCCGCCTGCTTCACTGACATGACACACAAGTTTTTGATGGTCATGCCGATCATCGCGACGTGGAGAAGCACGGGCACCCATGTTATGTACAGACACATCCAGAGGATCGCAAGCAGGACAAAGCTTGACCGCGACGGATGGTCCCAATTCAGCGTCGGTGAGATGCTCCAGATAACCTCCAAGTACGGCCACAAGTCATCGAGTAAAATCCAAAAGTTGTTGTACAAGATGGCGGCTTTGAACGGTGGCCAAGGCGCAGTGTATCGCTCTTCCGCCATAAAATGGGACAAGAACTCCGCGACGCGCGCGAACTTGTAGTGGAGCAGTACGTGGATGCGACCCGCTCGCGCGTCGTTGTTGAGGCCGTGGCGATGCAGCGTCGGCGGTAGCTGTAAGTCGAGCCATTTGTTGTGGCGCCGCTGGTCCATTAGGTCGACAAGCGGCACCGTCACCTGCCCGAGTTTGGTCGCTTGCTGCGTGAGTTGGCCGGCGTTAAACACTTCGAGAAGGAGCTCTGCCCCCGGTGCGCACACGTTGAAGACAAACGTTTCATGCCATCGAGGGTTGAGCGTGCGGCTCTTGCGCTTGGTAAGCTTTGTAGCTTGAAGCTCCTTGGACCATTCCTGATTGCACACGTTTAGGTGAAGTATGTAAAATGAACAGCGAAGCGCCGACGAACCTGGCCATGAGACCACCGGCCGGTCAACGTGAGTTTGACAAATGGGTCGCTCGTGATCGAGTTGGCAATCACATCCTTGGACGGTAACCCGATCGCCTCGACGACCTTGACATAGAGCTGTCCTATGCGCACGCGCCCGGCGTTTGCCACGGGGTCCGGCGTCCGTTCTGCCTACAGACACGCCTGTGTGATGAAGATGGCGGGAGCGACGCTTCCCATGCGCCAGGAAGACATACTTCTGTAGGTGTGTGCCCAGACATGCCCGACCATTCCATCGTCGACGTCAAGTGTTCGTCGAGTGCCGTGTAGCAAGGATTGCACACCCGAACTGGCTATGCGGCATGATGTCAACGTCTTCGGATCCAATATCACACGATCGAGTCCCATGCTGTTGGGAAAACGTACAAATGGATCTTGGGGAGACATGCGGCGCATGTTGGGCGAACAGTTGGAGCACACGACGTGGCCGCAACGACGGCAATGGTGCTACGAGTCCATCCCGCTCAAGCGCATCCCATGTGGCATGTTCGTACCTTGCGATGAATCATGGAGAAATCTGCATGGCAATTCATGCACTTCGCAGTGTCTTTGTCCGGCACCCACTTGAACGCTTCCCGATTCACGGCAGGGAGCGGTCCAAACAGCGCCGCCATCGCGATGCAGGTCAAGCGTTTCGGTCGTCAATCGAAAAATCAATAAAATCATCGTGACTTCCATACAAAACGGACTGTAATAATTTTTGGAAAGTGTATCAAGTGATTGGCTCCTTGGATCCCCTATCGACCAATCACTTTCGACCAAGGTTGAAACGGCGCACGATTTCCACCGAAGGCAGGGGCGCACGAACAGCCCACCGCGACGGAGCGATCCGTTTGCGAGTGCGCAATGAAATCGAGCGACGCACGATGGCCACCCTCGTGATCGCGCGACGAGGGGTACATGTATGTGTCGAGGGATGGAAGGGCTGTCAACGACATGTCGTTTCGGATCCAAACGCTGCCGTTTCAACGGGTATTTTGATTTCGTCGGCAGCGCCCAAGCGCGTCGTCGGACAGTCTCATGGTGTTCGTCTCGTTTGAAGGGTTCCTCGGTGCCGTTCCAGGTGTGGCCGATGCGCCAGCCCTTGAGGTTGTTGTGACCCCGGGCTCGCCACCCAAACAGTCGATGACCCAACGACGACGGGGGTCCCCGCTCAAGTCCGTCAACGCGCAGTACGTGGTGTTTGTCCAGGACAAAGCTGTCACCGGATCGACGTACGCGTTGCGGAAGACTCATGTCGAGATCGCAGCACTCCATGATGCAATCCGTACCTGTATCCGCGAACACCCGTGCACAATCTTTGCATGTTGCGGGCCGCTCCGGCGGCTTGCAAAGAAATCGTCGCGGCCGCCGGCGCCATCCATGAAGCTAAAGCTCTTCGACGACGGGTCGTCCTGTGACATCAAAGTCGACGCCGCGTGCACCCAACGCACGTGGGTCGTCGAAACATTCGTCAACGACTTGTTGCATGCCACCACCGGTCGTGATGCCGACTGTGCTGCCGTCGATCGCGCACGGCAGATGCTCCATCTCTTTCTCGACATTCCGCCTCGTCGCCACAGCTATGTCGTTGAAGCTCTGCGCGAACTGCAGCACCAGCAACGCACTGGCCACATGCGAAAACAGACCCAACCACCGCCATCGTCGACTCCGTTGTGCTTCAAAACGCATGAAGTGAGTGCATGCTGCCCGATATGCCTCATGTCTGCCGCATCACAACAGCCAGACGAAGCCAGCGATGCCACAAACGACATCGTCACGTTTGGCTGCGGCCACTCGTTCCACCCTTCTTGCGTCCAGACGTGGTTAGTCATCCATCTCGTATGTCCTGCGTGTCGAATGCCGGTAGCGACTTGCCCCCCCCGCATCGTGGACCTTGTCGAGACCACCCCCAGCATCCCTTCGGACGACCATGGCACTCAGTGGAGTTCATGCCGTTAATGTATCCAAGTAACCCACGAATCGCTTCCTTTCCGGTGGGCTGGACGGCGCTCAACCCGCCGAACGACGTGGATACGATAGGGGTGTGTTATCTTTTAATCGGGGCTTTCCTCGGCTGGTTCGGGTCATCTTCCTCGTAGTACGACGTCCCGTACGCGAGGAAGAACTCATGCATGGGCTCGACGGGCTTCCACGTGACGAGGTAGAGCTGGTCGAGGACGATCTTGCTCTCGGGCTTGGACGGGTCGACGATGCACCCCGGGCACAGGATCGTGTTGTTGTAAAACCCGCTGGCGTCCCAGTAATACTCCTCGGGGTACTCGTACACGCGGTCGTTGGGGAAGCCCCCCATGGAGCCTTCTGCATCAACCAGACCGTCGTACTCGATGAGGCGATGGCCGTACTGCTCTTTGAACTTGTCGACTTCCTTCACCTCGCCATTCACAACGACAAAGGTCTCGCCCAATTCGCCACACCGTGCGACTTTGTTTAACCCGTCATGGTGCATGTCCTCCGAGATCCGCCGGCTCCCAAAGATGCACACCACAGAGAATGCCGGCCACGCATGATCGCTGAGGTTGAACATCCCTCGTCCGCTGTTCGGGATGCCCGATATCGCCATCCCCAACGTCCCGTTGATGTTGGTCTCGATGCGTTGGATGTCTTTGCGTTTGACTTTGTGAAACTTGAGTGTCGGGGGTTTGGGTATCCGGGCCTTGAGCGCCGCCAACTCGTCGTCTGTGAGCTGCGATGGCGGAGGGTCCGTGGATGGACTCGTCGATTCCTTGGGTCGTTGCCTACGCAATCCATCCATGCATGCGTGTTCTCCAACTATCGGCTATACAAACGTACGGTGGGCGAGGGTTCACATCGTCGTCGTCGGCAAGGCGTTTGCCGCCCGTCAGGCGTCGGTAAGCGTCTTGAATGGTCGCTCGCATGCGCGGAGACCACCATTTTCCCTTGCCTTTGCCTTGTGCATGCTGCTTGGCCTCCTGAACGATCAAGCGCGACATGTGCGGCGGCTTCCCGTCCACACACGCAGCCACGGCGATCTTGGCGAGGCGGCGAACGATGGCCGGTGGGAGGTCGCGGAGTTTTGACGCGGCGTCTGTGGAGAGCTGGGAGCCCCACACTTTGACGATTCCAGCCAAAATCTTCTTGTCGACGGAATCGTCTACCGCCGCGGGAGATGGCGCGTCGGTATCTGGACGGGTAGATGGCGATCGGTTATGGGGGTTGTCGGCGGACTGTCTACTTGCCGAGCTGCCAACGGTGCTAGATGTGTTGGAGGTCGTGGCTGTGGCGGGGTCAGCGAGCAAGCTCGACAGCGCGACAAAGTCTGCGTTGGTCGCGTACAAGTTGTGGTTGCACCGCTTGAGGTAGCTCATGACATACGCATTCAAGTTGTCGCAGGGCATGCGTGCTTCGAGCTTCCGCCAGCACTCGTCGATGAACGCGTTGTCGCTCTTGTAGATGGACCGCGTCGCCTCGGCATCGAACTCCCACGAACACACGAGCGCTTCTTTGAGGACTTCCGCGGACGTCCGCATCTGTTCCGGCTCGACGGACGACTGGTGCGTATCGATGAGATGCTTAAAATTCTTCTTCACGTAGCGATGGAGAAAAGTGTCGCCAGTATACCGCCGATTGTGGCCGCCAAGGACCTCGCCCATGTTGTCCAGGGCCTTGGGCGGGAGAAAGGTGCTGTAGTTGCCGTTCAGGGTGAGCACGTGGTCAATCTCAAACAGTTCGTCGGGGTTTGCTCGGGACAGATAAATCTCCCATGCGCCAGGGGTGATGTGATGCCTTCGCATGACGGCCAGGACGTCGGCCGGCGTCGAGCTGTTCATGGTCGAGCCATCTGCGGACGACTGCGGCGACCCATTCGATGACGCAGTTGACGTCGAGTGCGTCAATGCCGGCGGCGCGATGAGTTGAAGGGGCGTTATCGACGCGATTGAGTCGTCAGCGACAAGCGGGTCCGAAAGCAACGTCATGCCGTCCCCGTCAAAGCGAACGTCCCATTTCGTCCACAGCGCCAGGATCTCCTTCACAACCGTCTGGACGGCATGGACGAGGCCCACATCAGTGCATACACACACGATGGGAGGATCTCACCGAGTGTCTGCATTTCGAGTCGAGCGCGTCCAGGAGCTTGTGGAAGATGCGTTCGCCGGCGCGGATGAGGCCCGACGAACTGAGCGCGGCGTTGCCTTGGTCGTCGTTCGTGCCGCCACGGACCTTTCGAATGACGTCGTGTGCGAGGAAGACTACGTTAAGCCGTCCCTTGCCTTGTTCAAAGCCGACCATGGCGTCCACAACTCGCGTCCAGACGTCGTCGAAGCTGTGCTTTTGCTTTACCATGAACTGTGCGCAATGCTAATGGAGACATCCGTCAATACACTCTGTGGTGGGAGATGGCGACTAAATAGAGAGAGAGAAAGGCGTACGTCGATGGCGGACTTTGTCGTGGGCAAGCGTTGGAGGAGCAGGTCGAGTTCGAGGAGCGGGTCGCCGACTGTCGTGCTGAGTTTGCGCGCGCTCCGCGCCGCTTCTTGCAGTTGCAGTTGCTTCGCGAGCAACCTGTCTTCCGCTTCTTTGTTAATTTCGCGATTGAGGACACCAATGACAACGCCGTCGTCGTTTCGACACAGCGACTCGACGTTCGCGCCTGTCTTCTTCAGGCGCTGGAGGCACTTGAGCTGCGGCATGTCAGACGGCACGACTAGGTACAGCGTGAAGATGTATTTGGAGTACGGAAACGTCACGCACGCCGCCATGCGTTTACGCTTGAGATACTCGATCAAGTCGCCCGCGTCTTTCGACGCAAACTTGCAGAAGAAACTCGTTGCCGGGATCGCCGTGTACTTGGCCTTCATGCTCACACTCAGCTTCGACGGGAAGTCCTTGAGATAATGCCGCTTCTCCACCGGCAGCTTGCCCACCAAGTTGCAGCACATGCCCTGGAACTTGAGTTCCACGCGCCACAGCTCCATTAATGGTCCACACTCTTGTTCACGGAGAATAGAGCGCTGAATCCGGGCGCCGCTTCCGGATACCATCCGGATAGGTGGGCCCAACCCACCAATCACCGGCCGGCCGTCCTGGGAGAGGCAGCGGCGGCGGCGGCGCCACCGCGTCACACGGCGCGCGTCCATGGCATACGTTTAGGTTACTTGATTAGTTAGAGTATTTCTAAATGCAGGAGTCTAGTTGTCGGTGGGTGATAGTTGGTGTCCGCCGATCGCCCATGTGGACGGCATCGCGTTCATACTTTCCCGCCGTGCAGGGAACGTCGCGCGCCGTTTTGTCAACTCGTCTTTGGCCATGTAGCGGGGATACATGCCCGCGGGTGGTAGCGGGGGCGGCATCACGCCACTGGTCCGCGACGACGGCGCTTGCTGTTGGTACAGTAACTGGTGGTGCAAGTTCATGCCGTACTCGTGCCCCATCATGGCCTTTCGGTCGAGACCGCCCCAGTCGACGACCGGCCCTTGATGCATTGCGTTGCTTTCGATCGTGCGGAGGTCGCTGTCGCCGTGGGCGAACCTGCATTCGTCCGTGGAGTAGTTGCAGCAGCCCTTGAGGTAGTAAAAACACATTTCGGTTTTGTAGTTTTGGAGGCGGGGCGCAGGTCCGCCTGTTGACGGGGGCGGTGCCATCATGGGGTGGACGTGATGGGCGAGTTGCGCAGGGAGCGGTGGTGGGAGCGGAGGGCCACCAGCTGCCGTCATTCCAGCCAAGGTCGACTTTGGCGGCGCTGCGCTTCCTCCATTCACAACCACCAGGTCGGCTTCTCCGTGAGCGAGAGGGCAATCGCGGCGAGGCCGTGGGCAAGATCCGCCATCGACGTACAACGGGCACAGCCGAGTCTTGAGCGCCGTCGGCGCAAGATGATGGGCCTGGCGCGGAAAGAGGTCCGCTTCGCCATGGGCAAACGAACACGTTCGGCGGTTCTTGTTGCATTTGCCTTGTAGAAAATACACGCACAGTTCCGTCTTCCAGTTGAGGGGTGCCGCCACATGGGTGGTGACTGGGAGCGACTGGCGGGATCTTGGGGCCGGTTGGAAGGACTTGTGCGAGTGGATGAGACTATCCATGGTTGCCCCGACATCGCTCTGCGACGCCAGAAACGCGGCATGAACGTCTGCGACGGGGATGTCGGGAAAAAGGTCGCACAGCACCGCCCACGTCGAACGGGTCGGGTCGAGTGTGCGTGCCGGCGGAGTGGTTTCCATGCCGTCATCCAGCGAAAATGCGGTCTTTTCGGTAGGGTTGTCGTCTTGGGGGGTAGGTTGCTGCGGCACGACGCAGGGCGAGTCCAAAAGAAGCGTCGACGGAAGGTACTGGTCCATGAGGCTGTGGCGACTCGAAGATAGAGGAGACGATGCCGAGCTTGGATGGACGAGGTCATCGTCGTCGGCTGTGTGGGCATCCGCAGTGGGGTAAAACGAATACAGAGGTGGGGGTTGCATTGCTGGATCGGTAGACAAAGATGCAGGGTCGCCATGTGGAGGTGCAGGTGTTCGTGTGGACGTGTTCGCCTTCGATGACGTCCAGACATGTCCGCCGCCGAGGTATTCGGGAGACGTTTTCGCGTGTTCGAGCTTCCCAATGCATGCTTCGAGTTCTTTCTTCAGATTCAAAGACACGAGGCGTTCGCGCACGAGTTCATCCTTGAGTTTCGCGCGCAAGAGGTCGTGGTATGCAAGCGCATCGTCGAGTCGGGTGTGTGCCGCTTCCAACGCAGCCACTTTCAGGCGCAACGCGCGCTCGGCTTGACGGCTCCACGTCAATTGCTGCACAAGTTGGAGGGTGTCGCTCGTGTTGTTGTCGGATTCAATCGTTGCATGCGGTCCACCGTACTTGTCGAGAACGCTTTGCAATCCTGCATGCATGGAGACACTGATCGCGTCGATGACGGTGACCAACGAGACAGATCCATCCGAAGGGACACGTATATCATCATGCGATGCATTGTTGTTGGTTGAGCTCATTTCCTTGAGAGGTGCCGCTGCCGCCGTGTTTCCGGCGGCCGTGCCGACCTCCCGCACCATCGTCTGATCTGTCGGGAAGTTGAAAACCTCTATCTTTTTATATATCCACAGATCGCGCCGGTCCAAGGGCCAATCAGATCTCTCCATCTCGGTTTATAAAGGTTCTTTTGATTGGCAGCGAAGCAGACGCATCTGATTGGATCGATAAAACATGCCACGGCGGCGGCAGAGAGCGTGGCGGCGCGGTCACCGAGGAACAGCGAGATGAGGAAGGCCCGCGGTGCTATGCCGTGTGTCCCGTGGATAAACGGGACGGATCGCTTGGAGGAATGGAAGGACCGACACGAGTCTCATGAGCATGCTCTAGGCTGACGATCGAATATACGTCGACGCGACGTTCCCTGATTGGAGTCCAGACATAAGGCACATTGGGAGCGGCAGTGCCGACCGGTATGTGTACATTTGGGACGCCGACACCGGTGCCCTCCGGTACCATCTCCCGGGGCATGCGGGAAGTGTGAACGAAGTCGCGTTCCATCCAAACCCGGCCGAGCCGATCGTAGGGTCGTGCGGCAGCGACAAGAACATTTACTTTGGAGAACTGCTTGAATAATCGCATGGAACGAGTTGAAGATTGCACATGTGTCCTTGGATTCTACGCTGCCACGTCGTACGTGGAGATGTTCAAGTGAGGACATTGCAACAGTTGCAGCGGGGACAGCGCGACGACGCGGTGAAGAGCGCCGGCGCCGCAGTAGATGGCATCGTCATGCACCAGGGACGCATCCATGACGATGTGGACGAGGGATGGACGTCGAAGGCCAACGGGACCGATGGCCCCGCGGCCGTACCCAAACACATGCAGGAGGTCCTACAGCACATCGCGCGTGAGAAAGGGTCAGTTGAGCAAGCGTACGCGTTCCGAGGCGAGGGATATCGCGCACGACGAGAGGCCGAGCTTGGACTGGACAAACGAGTGCAACTTGTTCACGTCGATCGTTTTGGCCAGGTCCACCAACACAGCCAAGAACTGGACCGGCGACCGTCCACAAGCCGCTGCGGACGCATGGTGCTGTGCATGTTGGACGACCCATGCCACAGTCTTGATGACTGTGTGGCCCTCTCTGTCGACTGCGCAGTGAGGCTGGGTCGGGAGAGTGTGGAATGTCCCTGATAGCCCCAACGACGCCACAGCAGCAACGACGTCTGCTTCGCCCAAATACGCTTCTACAAGACGAGATCCCGTCGGCGCCGTGGCTGCTGTGTGAGCCATGCACGTGGACTACGTACGAAGGTGAACGCGCCATGCCGTCCACAAAGAGGAGGATATGGTCCAAGGCTCTTGGACTGGATCCGGTCCATCCAGGCCAGCCGTGAAGTAGAGCAGCAACAGCCGCACGCAATGCGCGTCCATCGCAGCATACTCGATTTGGTCCTGCGAACGAATGATTCAACTCGATCCATCCTGACAAACGTACGGCTGAGAGCGGCCGGACCGCCCAATCTGACGTTTGCTGGTCTTTGGGAATGCGCAGGTTCAAATAGGACGCCGCGAGGCCGGCGAGACCCATCCGTTGGACAGTGGGCACGTCGTCGGGCTTGGCGCGAGCCACCGCCACCCGTCGGAGCTCCACGCACGTAAAGTCGGGCGAATGCACCACGTCCGTCAATCCAGGATGCGAAGCCACGAGGCGATCGAGGTCCCCCGACACGCAAAACCCCGTCACGACGACCCACGGCTGACTCAAGTGGCGAAACAGAGGCACCACCATGTCGATCACGGACGGCGCCATGCAGTCGAGCACATACACGTGGCCATGTGGAAACGCGATCTGGATGACCTGGATTTGTTCCAAGTCTGGTGAATCGTCGTCCAGCGTCGTGTCCCTCTTGGTGGAGAATGCTCGCGGCCGCCACTCGCAGTCGAGTCCGACGATCACGACTTTGGTCGGTTGGAGCCGTTCGTTGGGTGAATGGTTTGGATCCATCAGAGCCTCGTCCATCCAGTGCATCATGGACGTGACGTCGTCGGGGGTTTCCACCAAGTGCACACTCAAACGAGTGGCCAGGATGTCTTGGACCAAGGTCAATTGATGGTCCTGGTTGACGATGGGACGTTGGTTCGCCGCGTGAGGTGTGTGGCTGGGAAGGATGGAATGGAAGAGGGCAGCAAGGCGCTTGGCAGCTTTTGTACGAGTTTTTGAGTGGCGCATAAACGTTTGCGTCAGGCGATGCGTTCGAGACGTGCATCGTTGCTGCGACAACACAAACGCTTCCGCCGCCACAGGGTCATTCGCATCCAGCAGCTTCGTCAGCATCGTGGATGCCGTGGCCTCCGCTCTACGGACAGAGGAGGGTCTCCGTTGTCAAGGGGATGCATTTTAGCCGCACGTGCGCGTTGTTGCACATGCCACAGACCAAGGTTCAATTGTCCACTCACCTGGGCAAGCCATACGCAGCACACAAGTCGACAGCCGTCATGTGCCATTTTCCGCGGTGGTCTGGCTCGAGCATGCGAGTCATCACACCTTCCATGGCCCCAACATCTCCATTTCGCTCGAGTTCTGATTCCATAGCACTTGCACGTACTTCGTTGAGCAAAGTGTGTTTGGCCTTGACGAGAAAGCGCACGCTCCACCACTTGGTCTCATCAGCCAAGATCGTAAGCAGAGCTGCATGGAGGGTCCCACCATCGTCATTGCGGCGCTGAGCCGAAATGGCCGAAGTCGCGTCGACGACGAGTTGTCCGATTCGAAATGTCTCGTTCTTGTCGGTGCGCTCTTCTTGTGCTACTAGGGCCAATATACACTGGATCGAAAAGCGCAGACCGAGGGGTTGTAGCACCTTTTGCGCAATGGCCTTCACCGTGCCATACCGCGCCCCAGACCTAGTCGCGCGTCGAAGCTGTTGAGCCAGCTCCGTCGGATCGCTTGCTTGGTTTACGTCGACGACCATGATGGAGCTGGATGGCCGCGGCGCCCTTTTGTCTGCCGCCACACGGCGGCCACTTCTGTTCGGCATGTCCGTCTTGACAGCTGGAGGAGCTATGGCCGGTTGCCACATAGCTCGGTTCACAATGGCTCCGCGGGATGTTTCCTCAAACGCTGTCTCGTGAATGCATGGACGTAGCTCAGCCACAACCAAGGGTTTTGCAGTCGGACTCGATGCAAAATGCGCGCGGACAGCGACAAACAGATCGTCGCGAGATAGTACTGGAATCGATGGCAGGTGAAGCCCGGGGTCGCCAGGGATGGACACAGTCTCGTCGTCGAGTCGCGTGGCAGATACTTTTGCCAGCCAAAACAATTTGGGCAGGATCGCAAAGCGAGAAGATGACGGCGTCGTGCGCTGGAGGTCATTCTCGAAATCGAGCGTCCACCACCCCTGCAGATGGTCCTCGTTGATTGCCGACGGAAGTATTGGTCTTGGCAAAACTGATGTGGTCGACATGCGAGCCAAGGGGTAGTAGATATACCCTCGGAAAATGACGTGGGATTGAACGAGGATGACGCTGTTCCCGCAAGGGGCAAAATGAGCGGACAGCCACCGCGATGCAGAGGATGTCGCGTCGCCACACATGCGGAGTTTCCGCTGGAATTTCCCAGCTCGACCTTCGAGCGTTTCTCCGCCAGCGGTAAGACCAAGGTTGATAAAGTCGGGCATGTTGATTCTTCCGACTTGTGGACTACAAGGAGGAAGAACTTGACTGCAGCTTCCCAATGCATGTTCACGGGGAATGGGGGATCGGGCGACGGCGAAAGGCACTCTTCATGTGGAAGGGTCAGTTGAAAAACAAATTTTAGTTGGGCGGGAGATGCACCCGAGGCCAGTCGATCGATGCGAAGGGTCGGACATTCACGCAACCAGTACTCGACAAGGCAAGTGAAGTACACACCAAGGTCTAGCGACATCTTGTCACTGCGCCGACGCTGCTCTGCATACAGCGGATAGCATCGCTTCAACTCATAGATCAACACAACTTACGGCTAAGGAACGTGTGAAGTGGCTCTGGGTTGGCATGCAGTCCTGCGAGCCACGCTTTCGTGTCACTCGCATGGAGAATGTACGAGCACAGCGACGGTGGCAGCACATCATACTCGGGCGTGAGTAGATGCGGGCTAGACATTACCCATTCCAAGTCGTGGACGGCCTTCACGCCGCCGCCGATGTACATGCAACTCTGAGCCGTGATGGCCGTTCTGGCGCGCAATTTCTGCTGTCCGAGCCTTTTAAAATACTACTCCGGCCCAATGAAGATGTCCACTTTCAATTTTGGTCGATACCCACTGAAGGTGTCCACGTTTAATATGATTGGTCAAAAATAGTACAACATGATATTCATTGGTTAAAACTCAAACGAAAGTAGTGAGAGGGCATGCAGCTATGAGAGCATTAGGTGGTCACTCACAGTCAAGCGGTTCTTTGAGTTCTCCGCGTCTTCTCTTGAACTTCTTGCACATATGCTTGATCTTGTACGTATTGTTTTTTCTGCACTCGACAATTGATTGCATCACACTCTGTAGGGCCAGGAAGATGTCATCCAAAGTGGCGGCAGCGACGGCTTTGAAAGCGGTCTTCTCGTTTTCCACATGCTCTTCGAGAGTATCAGCGTCCAGTGTACATTGAATCGCTTGCATTGAGGTGAACATGCCAAGATCTAGGATGTTCAAGTCAGGACTGTTGGCCGGTTGCATACCAAATATGATTTCCCGCCCATTTGACATGCAAGCGTCAGAAACTCGGTCAAGCGCTCAATGCGATGGGGGGAGGTATTATCTTGCTGCACATATATCGTTTTGGTGTCAGCGGGAAAGCATTCGTTGATTGCAGGAATGACACACTCAATAAACATCTTCTTGTAGGACTCGATGGTAGCTGCAACGCCAACAGTGAGAAGGGTGCCGGCAGGGCGGTTGCGCGTTGTCTTCTTCGCTTTCACAGTCTCCAAGAACGGCCAGGCCCCAATTTTGCCATCAAAGAAGACTCCTCCCTGTGTCCTTGGGCGCGCTACGGCCACGAGAAACATGACTTTGGCACAAAGCGCTTGTACTTCACTTCAAGAGGTAAGGGATCCTCCCATGACGCCAAATACACCTTGCCATTGACATTGACCATAGTGAACCATTTTTCGTCAACGAAAACATGATTGTAAAGACTGTCGTATACTACATGCCCCTCCTTGAAAGAAGAATACGCTAAGCAGTGCTTCAACCGCTCGTCAATATGCTCATGAGTGAGAACCGGCCGCGTTCCAATCACTCTTTGCTTGATTTTGGCCTCTTTCAGTCGTCGTTGAGTGGTAGATCTTGTGAGGCCAAGATTCATAGACAGCTGCCTTTGCGACCTCCGTTTGCTGTGCGGGAGCACTGCTACTCGTCGTTGGAAGTCCTCCAAGAACGCGGCGGTGACCTTCTTTCGTCGTGGTTTCTTGGTTACGGCACCGGCTCTACTCGAAACCCTAAGCTGCTTGATTGTCTTGGGGCTCACTCCATGTTTTTGAGCTTGTAGGGAGATAGCGCCATACTTTGGTTTGCCTTTTGCAGCCCCCACTTCAAGCTGCGCCACGATAGCAATGCGTGTTCTGTCGTCTATCATCTCTTTTCCAAAATGAAGTGGACATTTTTGGTGGTGAAAGAGTATACATTAATCAAGTATAATATATGGCGGATTTCAAATTGCCCTTTTTAAGCCATTTTGGCGCGAATACAATCAAAAAGCATAGCTGTCCAATCAGTAAGCTCTCTGCTTTCAATATCTACCAATGCCGTGGTCTAGAAAAAATCTGTCGATTTTTGCGGATGAGTCAAAGTGAAAGTGGACATTTTCATTGGGCCAAAGTAGTACTCGACAAACAAACTCAACAGCCATAGAAATTGATGAATAAATGAACCGTTGAATCGTTTTTTTTGGAATTAGGATGGAATTCGTCTACTAGATAGAAGGCTTACATGTTAATTAACACTATGACGATTTATCCGGAATTGTTCTAATTGGAAAAATCAATCCATTCCGATTGGTGCTGTAAAAGATGGCTGAATATATTGACCTTTTTGTTGAAAATTGGACTTTCGGTGTAATCCATATGAACAAAACACTTCTTTTCGACAACTGACGCAACCAATCAAATAACTCGTAGCACACATCCATTTTGCCACGCCATCCTTCACCTGCACTGAATCACTTCTCCAAGCTGTTGTGCGGGACCACGCCTCCGAGAACACGAAGTATCACTGCCTTTTCGGCTATTACATGCTAGGCCTCTCCAAATCGTATCTTGCCTTGCTTTACTCGAAACACAAAAGAACAATTGTTGCCTGGATAGCCAAGT